TTGCACTACAGAACTTATGGCTGAAAACTAACTGTTCAACATGCAGGATGGAGTGGTGTCATCTCACTTTAAATATAACACCCTCACTGGCAGCTGCAGTGCTTAAACTAATTCATCACCTTTAAGAGGACCTCTTAAGAGGTCACAACTAAAGGACAGTAGTAAGATACTGCCCAGAAGCCTGAAACAGTTGCCAATTCTATACCTATTCCATGAAATTATATAAGTATTACTGCTTGATGACAAGCAAACACAGAACAGATACATGTACTTAAAACACAAATTAAGGATTCATGCAAAAAATGAAAGCATTATCCATAGATATCCTAATCCCTGAAGACCCTGCAGCTTCTTAAAATTCTGCTAAGGTTTCTCAGTCACCTAGAATACCATTACCCTTCCCAAACCCAAGCAGCAGCACCTCTTCACTAATCTGCTAGGTCTACAAACAGTGCACACAGTCTGCTGAGGAACCCCAGCCTTTGGCTGCATTCTGTGATCAAAGGAGGAACCAGGCACCACCACTTCAGGGACTATTTAGGTGTTAGAATCCAGAAAGGAAGCTGCATGATAGAAGCACTACCTAGAACTTAGGATTTAACTTAGAGCCCCAATTCAGATCTCCACCCCAGCTGAGGCAAGATTTCATGTACACTTTGCCATCAGCATTTCCTATTCACTCATCTGGACACTTCCTTAGCATGTTCTAATTGTCCATGTTGGGTGCACTTTTCTATTTCATGCTTAAGTAACACAGCATTTAACTCATATTAGAAAAATTTACACTTAATTGTTTGCACGAACATCTCGAACACATAACAAAGACTAATACAGTTACAGATTAAAATCTACTGTCTGTGATGTGTGTCAAAGCAAGTGGTTGCAATTTCAGAAGCAGTGACAACCTCATTTTCAGACAGCAAATGTCTGGGACTTCCTCAAAAAAATTAACACCTTTATGACATTCTCAACCGTGTTCCTAAGCAAAATATTTGGACAGTGTCTTGCTTAGTCAGGAAACCATCCATCAACGTCCTTAACTAAAGAAAAAACATTAGCAAGCCTACCTTAAAGAGTGAGTAGTCACAACCAGGCATTAAATTACTAGAGAGCTGGATATGGTTGTATAAACTGTTGGAGGGAAAAAAGCAGGATTAGAAACTAAGCATTGTTTTAAGGTAAAGTATTCTTAAATAATTTAAGACATATGACCAAACAAAGCCCAGAAATTAAGGGGCAATAAAGTTATTTCAGAAGTAATCATATTTCTTAAGTATTTTTTTAACAACATAAAAGTATCACTATTAAGATGTCCTAGGCTTAAAGCAGCAGAATGGAATAGGAACCCCACAATTGTTTTTAAGGTCATCACAAACGCTTCTTTCAAACCTAGTTCTAAAGTTCAAAATTATTAGAAACATAACTCACTGACTGAGCTTTCATGGCAACAGGTTCTCTGTCCATGTGTATTCTATACATTCATGGAATAAGGATAACTGTTCTTATTTCTAGGGCTACTCTCACTGGTGAGAATGCTTTTTAGAAGAAAGGTTCAACCTTGCTATTTGATATAGTACTCTAGGTATGAATGCTGTAGGCCTGATAATTCAAATTAAGGACTCAAAAGACAAGAACACACAGTAGACAACAAAATATATATTCAGAATTAAATTTACAACTGCACAATTCAGAAAAACAATCAAAGGAGTACATAGTGTCTCCTCCTCAAACAAGGAGATGGATACCTTTTTTCACCCCTGCACTGTTAGGGTCAGACTTCAGGAAGAGGCCTGCACACACTACAACACCACCTGTAGACCAAGACCAACTAATCTCGAGACATAGTTCAGCATCAAAAAGAAAACTGATTACTGTGATGTTCGAACAATGAGAAATCACACAGAGGAATTTTTAACACCAGTTACAAATTCAGCAGTTTGCCTCTTAAGTTTACCTTAGAATGAAGATCATTTCTTCTGTAACCTCTAATGAATGTTTTCAAGGATGCCATTAATCTGCATGAATCTCAAGTACTGTGCTCCAGATTCAGGCAATCTTGAACGTGCGACACGGGCCAGCAGTCAATTTAATCAAGCAGGAAAATGTGGGGCCATCAAATTGGCAATCAGTTGGCCACCAGTATTAACAGGTTCATATTACTATGAGATAGCTACTGCACAAATTGGACGTTCTACATGTCTGTCATGTACACATGAATATAAGCACCGTTTTAGTGTTTCAGCAAGACAGTGTGCATTTAGAGGATGAAGAATTTCTCCATTCACATTTTCTTCAACAGACTTCACCTTCAGTTGTGCAAATATTTCGTATTACACACAAGAATTTTCAGGTAATGGAGTACTTTATAGTTTTTTTGACTTGGACACAAGCTTTGCCAACACATCCCAGAATTACTGTACAGATTGAAAAATCTTTACTTACGCCCAAAAATCTTCAACAGTATCAAACTTTGAGATAAGACGAAGATTTGCTTGCCAAGTTTTGCTCTTGTCATTTTTAAAAAACCAGAGTGCCCATCTAAAGGGGAACAAAATAAAAATATCTAGATATTAAATTATATTAAAAATGTAATTATTTCTATTGTTATATTCAAACTAATTGAAAACCTTAATATATTATGAGCATGGAGATCAGTTTTCATCAATAAGCTGCGTGATCAATTCTTTACAGACCAGCAATGTTTGTACTTTCATCACAAGAATCATGGCAGACTTTATCAATCCATTAGGTAAATATTATAAATAGCTTTGGAATTCTTTTTGGACTCTAAACCTCTCCTTGCTGTGACTGCTAAACTGCAATCCCTACCACAAACAAATGACTATGGTCTAAAACAACACCAACTATTCCAACTGGGCTCCCTGGCCAGTAATTTCCTTGTAAAGGTTACATAAGCAAGTTATATCACTACAAAGCTATGTATGACATGAAAGCTTCCCAAGCACTCACATACTAGGAAAGCATAAATCTTAAAATGCAAGCCCATTAAGCTTACTAATGGCAACCACCTCAAATCCACACAAACTGATTGTTTCAAGTTTTAAAATTAGCATATATAAAGACAAGACTACTTTGGAAAAAAAAATCATCTCTGCTGAGCACAAATACCAAGACAAAAGTGAACCTTTCACACAAAGATGCTCTTTCAGAATCTAAAAACCATCATTGCAGCAATTTAAAGTGCTGGAAGAGGATACCTAATGAAGCATTTAATCAAACAGTTGGGTTTTTTTCCCATTCTGATAATTTCAGTAGTGTTGAAACAACTCAGGTTAGCACTAGACTAAATTTATCTTCTCTCAGCAGAGAGCTTTAAGTCACTATGTGTCAATCTATTGTTTTGAGACCCTTCCTGACATTTCAAACTTATTAAGTTTACTCCTTTCCAGTAATAGCCTCACTGCCACTTGTAAAGAAGCATCAGCATCAATTTAATCAAGGTGTTAAGAGGAAAGAGGAGAATGGAAGCTGAAAGACAACAAGGGAAATGGGATACATGTAGCATAGCACTGCAGGGAAGCACTGTCTTCCACATTTGCTCTAAACTTGGAAAAGAGTAAGGTATCACTTGGTAAAAGGTACCTGCCAACATTAAGTACTGAGCACTCCAAGTAACTCATCAGCTTACTTGGAGAAAATTATTTCCAAGCTGGTCTTTTTGAAGCTGTAAGAGGGCTTGAAGTTTTCACTAACTTTGAAATACAATTTTAACTACAAGATTTTACCATTGGCACCTTAATTTACCCCAGTAAAAGGCAGAATGCAAGATTTTCCAGTTCTAGTGGGCAACAGCCTCACCTCATTGTCAGCCTCTTAAAATACATCAGACAAAAGCAACAAAAGCTCTGCCTGCATCCAGCTAAAAGCAAAGCCATGCTCTTTCAAAGTACCTGGCTGGATTCTGAAAACTTGCAAAGATTTTCAGCTTCTGTAACTGCACTATCCGAAGAACACTATGAATATTAACATTTGGAGCAGATTTCTCCTTTCTCTGGAACCTCACTGCAAAAATCTTCAAAAAAACCCCAGAGAATTCCCAAAACACTACTATAGAGCGTAAGGTCAACAAGAACTGCAAAGCCACAGGCATCTTTCTACCCTGGGCAAAACTACAATCACCTTTCTTGTACCATTTACCTGTTTTGTAGTGGATGTTTAATATACTGTTCAGGGCTGGCAACCTCCTGACTAGGCGCTGGCTCGGTTTTCTCCTCCTCTGCAGGTTGGGGGTTGGGAGTGGTTTCCTGTTTGAAGAAAGGTGTTATTAATACATTCCTTCTCAATTTTTATTGAGGTAATTAAGTTCTCTGAAGTTACTTTAGAAAGGATGAAGCTAAGAGTTCCTATAATTTAACTTGATTAGGGGCCCAAATCACAAAAAAGAAGCACAATTTGTATCCCTTTATTCTTCAGCATCTGAACAGGTCTTACGATAAACACTAACTGCAGGAATTTGCATTCTGCTGTTTAGTGATTTGCTTCCTATGCAATTTGTTTCAAAAATTATTTACTGTACATCCTTGTCTAATTCTGAAACAGTTTTGAGTGCTATTTCAGAAATATACCATCTATGTTATCTAGAATATGCATATCTAAAATAAATTCAGAGTAGTGATTTCAGAATGAAAATTTTTACCAGCTTCTAACAGAGCATCATTTAAAACAGGTGTACAGGCCCTGTTATTCAGAAAAAAAATCTATTAATACAAGTAGAAGATAAAACTAAAATTCTCAGTCTAAAATCAGCTACTGCAAGCAACTAGAAGCCAAGCAAGTGCGTAGTTATCTTTTTATTTGCAACATCATCATGAACTAAACAGCAGAATTTAAACACATCATTTCTCAAATTTCCTACTGAAATAAATGTACTTACAGGTTTAGTATGTATTAGATTGATTTCAAGAGTTATTTTTTTCAACTTTCTAGAGACAGCTCTAGAAATGTTAAATATACTTTAAAATAAAGTAGTAAATTATATTCTCTTTGCATGCAAACCCCACTCTCAGCCTGACACTCTCAGGCTTGTCATTCAGTTCAAGAAGTCACTGTGTCAGCTTTGAAATTCTAATGCCTTTCCTTCAATCCAGAGAATACAAAGCTTTATTGTGAGGCCAAGTGTCCCTGCCAGTTACCACCATCCCTCCCTCATCTGCGATCCATGCTAGAATATTACAGAAACATGGAATGAGGACTGTAGCTCCTTCCCAAGAGCTAACATAAAAATGCCTATACAGTTGTCCCCTTGAACAAAAAAGTACTTCAGTAATATAAACAAAAGCTAACTACAGCAGACCCAAAAACTAGATGTTTCCAAATGTGGCAATATAAGAGTAGCATTTAAAAATTAATTTAAATTTTCTGGTTTTAACAGAACAAATTAACATAGGAGTAAATTAAGTAATGTTAAGAATTTAATTAATGGAACAGTCTACTTCAGGTTTCCACATAAATTTATCACACCAAAGCCGTTAAAGTGGAATGGATTTGAAGTGACAACACTGTTCGATCTTCACAGACCCAGCTGGCAAACTCTTCTGGATAACACCTAAAGATCTGTCTTAACAGGAATTTTCTTTTCATTATCAATATATTTAGCATGTTATAGTTTACATCAGACAAGTTACTCCTTTATGGCTGAAAATAATTATGCCTTAGCTTAACAGCCCACCTAGAAAAACACCTCATGATATGTCAGAACACTCACATGCACCTGCACTCACAGCAAAGAGACTGAAATGCCAAGATCTAACAAGAGCACTTGGCCAGTGCTTTGATTTACACAGTACAATAGCACAATTCCCTTCCTCTTAATAAAACTAAATGCTTTCTGAGATTCCCCAAAGGGATCATCACTAACAAACCCACAGAAGCAGTGTTGAACGATCTGTCACATCTTCTCCAGTGTAATACTATAAAAAGATAAGCAGACCTTCAAAAAAGCTTAGGAAGTTTTTCAAATTCTACCTAGAATTTCTAGCATTACCCCCACTTATTTTTGCTATCATTCATCTTTAATCACACAAAATCATCCCACTGAACAATTCAAGACAGTGCAGAAAAGCTATAGAATTCACCATGGAAGCACTTTAATACTTCCCTCTTCAAGTTATCTGTACTACATTACAAAGAAACAAGTATAGATAACTAAAACTTATGTGTGGGTCCTTCAGGGGCTTCTAACTAAAAAATTCAGAAAAGTTTCATGTGCAAACACAATAACCCTACAAGAAAAAAATCTGCTGATATTCTGGAACAGCACTAGGTTTTGGGATTGTGCTTTCAGTCACAATACTCTACAGTTGTGGCACCTAATATTCACAACTGATTTATAAATGCTATTGCACTAGGAATTTTAACATCAAACAGATTCACTCTTGCTGAATGCAGATGCAGTGTAACTTCCAAAAACAATTTCAGCTGAGAATCTAATGTTTGCTCAGCAACTAGCTTTCATCACACAAAGAGCTAATCCCAAAGTCTCCCTGGTCACTCTTCCAGAATTATCACAACTACATAAAATGGAAGAATCAATAAAAGTTACTGATCACATGCAGGGCTAAACTGTTTCATAACTTCTAACAAAAGACAACATTAGAAAATATTAAGGCAGCACATACAGACAAAAAGAAAAATGCAATAAACCTCAACACCTGCCTGGTACACTGATGATCATCCTTCACACAACTACATGAAATTCTATTTTTGGACAAACAGAAGACATCTGACTCAGCACAAGCATTTTGCTTAAGCCACCACAATATAAAGTCCCTTTAGATATTCTGAAAGCTACATGGCATTCATGAAACTCAGACTAACCATTATTCAAGCTCCTGTCCAAAATAGCAAATGACAGCTTAACTCCACGGTCTGGCTTTGACCCTGACCCAGGACTGTGCCACTCCCCTCAAAACTATGCCACCAGAAGAGACTTTTTCAGCACCAGGCTGCTCCATCAAGGATAGCTACAGGTCTACACACCAGGTATAAAGTTGGAAGTAGAACTTATTATTAAAAAACATTCTTTCTGGCTGGTCTCAGAGAAGCCTAAAGCAGCTTATTTTCACTTCCTTCTATTTTCCACATCCATCAAGGAAAACAGAAAAAGAACCATTTTAATTTTTGGCTGGTTAATCATTATCCGCCCCTATTACCTTTCATCTTACCTTTATCTTGCTGAGTACCAAAATGAAATGCTTGTATACCAAAGCATTTTCATTATTAGTCAAATAGAAACTATGTAAGTTCATTAATTAGTATATAAAGTCCTGGTATCCAAGAAATTGCATAGAATTCTGTTCTATAAATACCACATGGATTTATGTTACTGTCCACCTTTTAGCAATTCACAGCTTGAAACCTGCAGTTGCAACATTATTAACAGAAGTCAGACTGACTCCACCAGTAGTTTCTGGACTACTTTATTTAAAATACTTTGTAATACTTTACCATTGCTCATAAGTAATGTATTCTTTAACCTAAAATTGACTTCATACTAAATAACCACTGAGTTTGCTGCTTTTAAAATATAAGTAATAAAACAGGGTAGCATTACCAGATAAACTGGAAAGCTTCACATGGCCAATCCCTTCTCATACAAAAGACAGCACATAATTAAGTGACATTTATTCACTACCCACATGGTTTCTGATGTAGGAATCAGCTTGCGGAAGTCCATGAAACATTTGCCTACTCAGCATTTAATAATGCTGTATATCTGCAATTACTTGGATTCTGACACTTGCAGATTTAATTGGTGTTATTTACTCTATCTCCACAGCACATAATGATCAACATATCAAAGAAAGGTGTGCATGTCACCAGGACAGGAAGCAAAGAGCTTTTACAGTAAAAACTGCTTCATCAGGTTTGTCTGTTAATGAGAACAAGCAGCTTGACTAGGTTTTACCAAGGGTTTTCAGGTGCTGCCCAGACCACATTCATGCCATTAGCTGTTTAAAGAAGTTGTTTAGCAAGTCCAGTTGGAGTGCAACAATTATTTCTCAAAAGGACATAACCCAGCACTATTATGCGCTCTTGGAGAAGGCTAAGAGAATTAATTAGTGGAAGAGGCTTCCCAAGTCTTCTTGCATTAAACCAAAATAAGTTAACTCCAGAGTTTTCACCTTCTTGCTTGGGATTTCCAAAAGAATAAATCTGCTTGTACCAGTTACCTGATGTCTTGGGGAAAAACATTTCTACTGTCTGCTGGCCCTTACACCTCTTGCAGGTAACTGCTACTACACTACAGCCAGGGTAATTTCCAAGGCACAAAATTCAAGGACTATTTATTTCAAAACATTATGGACAAAAAGAAAGATTAAAGCACACCCACAAGCAAGGATTATATCCTGTAAGAGAACAAACCAAATGGTGATCTGACACACAACTCTGAGGAATGAATCTACAGTGGTAAAAATCATATGTAGTACATGTAATAGCAACTGGAAGAGAAGTACTAACAGCCACCTGTTACCAATTTAAAAGTGTGAAGGTTTCCAGACAAAGAAAGTATTCCTACTTGTGACACAGCAAGGCCTAACAGAGAGCAACTATCCTATCTGCATTCATCATTACTTAGAACACCACGGATTTTTGGAAAGGCAATCACTATTAGACCACAAACACGAAACCTGATTTTAACTGACATCCCCTCAAATTACAACAGAAGTGCAGCACGTGTACAGGAGAACAGGAATAAAAGACTAAGCAAAAAAGTCACATACTTCCTCCGTGGTCAAAGGTTTTCTAGGAAATACCACCTCAGATTTAAAAGATAAAAAAACTATTTATAGCCCTCTTGACTTCTGCAAAATGGGTTAAAATACACTTGAAAATACCCATCACATTTTCACCATTTAACTCACAAACTTCTAACTAACATTAGCAAATAGGAGTATCAAACTACCTCAGTATCTTTGTGCTTTTTGTAGCAGTCTAAGCAAGCTGCCCTTGTGCTAACACCTCTTATCCTGGTCTGCACTCTGCTGCTGCCTTTGCTACTGGAACACAAAACCTCCCCATGGGATGAGTTTCCACATCTAACATTCTGTCACTTCTAAAGCACTCAGACAAGAAAACTTCTCAAAACTGCTGACAGATAACAGTTCAGGTAATTCAAAGAACAAAAAGCCTCTAGTCTCCCCAAACATTAATACACAAAAGACCTCCACATTTTGCAAATACTGAGCCTCTGGTTCAACAAAGCATAGAACTTTATATCTGCTGAAAATTTAAGACACATTCAATATTCAGAAAAGAATTTCATGTAGCATGTATGAATGGTCAAGAGAGAGGTCTCCAAACTAAAAGTACTGGATGTACTACTGGTATTCCCAGTGATTGCAAAGTATGGTCATATACACAGGTTATCTGATGAACAGCACAGAGCACAAGAGAAATGGATCTCTATTAAAAAAAAACCAAACAACTTTTAAACAGTTTAAACTTCTCTGCCTTACATCCATTATACAGAATCAAGGACAACTGGCACTTTAAGGCCGCTAACATTCGTGTTTCAGCACACTTATATCTGTACATCACACACTTACACCTTCCTAACATCAATGTCCTATAGAGGAACAAGTGTTAAACTAGAAGAAATGAGGACTACTGCAAGCTCATAGCTTCTAAATAAACAGTTTCTAAACTCAAGTTTAACCTCGACTATCAAATATTTCAAAAGTGAAAGACAATTTATCTGAGGAAAAGGTCACATTAATTCACATTTAAAGTCTGCATTTCTCTTTCACGATGCAGGTACTCTACCAATATCCCTTATTTAATCCTCCCTGCTATCTCCTCAAAATTCAAACTAATCTTTACAAAGCTGCCAAAAGTGACACGTTTTCTCATCAAAAAGTTTCCCATGTACCTCCACACCTGCAGGGAGTACCAGTAAATTAAACACTGCTTGATTTCACGTGCTATTTTTATATATTTATTTGAAATAAGTTTGGTATTTTATATGCTGTGTGAAACGTAATTATTCAAAATTGCTTTCAGTAAAGTGTTTATCTCAAAAAATGTACAAGATGTGCAACATGCTCCTCTTGGAGGAAGCTCCATACTCAGAAATGTTATTTACCATTCAAAAGGTTATGATAGATATCCTCCATTAAACAGCATGAAAGATACATCTATCCTGTATCATTTCAGAAAAATGCAATGAGGAAGCAACTGCGCTCACAATACTGCAGCTCAGTGCTATACTGACTTCAAACAGAGCAGGTCACTGACTTTTACAGCAGAAATATTCAGCCACAAGAGCAAGTCTAAAGTTGAATTCAATTTACATGCTAACTGTCTGCAAATAATACAAAATAAATACCTTTCAGCCTATATTGAATTTACAAGGATTGCATTCATAACAACTGCCATTAAACAAAAATATAAAAGAATCATGATGCCATTTCCGATCTGCACGATGAGGGATTAGATTTATATGCACCTAGAACTTACAGGCTTTATGCAGCTACATTTTAAAGTCACCTTTGGTAAACAGCTGTTTACTAAAGCATTACTACTGGTTTTGTTGGTAACTTTGTGGACTTTTGCATGGTGTTATCTGATCATATTTAATCCTCAAAGACTGTATGACCATTTTAACAGGTGACACTTCTGCATAGTCTCAAAAATTAATCTAGAATATTTTTAAAAGAAAAACATAGACATTACAAGAAAAAGATTTAACCTGTCAGTGTTGCAAAGGCTTAAGTCTTCCCTAGAGTGGAGAAATAAACCCCTGTGCAATTGGTCTGTATTTATTTAGAATGATCTTGCTTTCTTTGACAACTAATATGGGACTCTCTACAGAACTCAAAACTCAAGTTCCTGTATTTGTTAACAGTCTGAAACATTTTTCCAGACTCTTAAGACTTTCAATGTATGCTACTTTTGAAACCATGACAGTACTAAAACCATCACTGATCTTAGTAGAAGCCTATATAAAAAAAAACCAAAACCAAGCCATACTCAGTTGTACTTTAATTTCCCAAGACACAGTCTCCCACCAGGAAAGCATTACAGATGACAGCTCTACAAACCCAGGTCCAGATTTTGCAGGCGAGCAACAAAAAGGCCTCCCTATGATCAAGAGGCAATCCCTAACCACACATGCAATTAAACTGTTCAGCTGCAAAGCACAGGGTATTTCTGCAACACTGTGCAGCTCTGACCTCAGTCACTACAGAGACTAACTAAAATTAGACTAACTTTAGGCTTAGGATGAGATGTAGGCCAATAAACAAAGGCCTTGCTATTTACTTCCATTTGAAAATAAGCAAGCACAGGTGGTAGCTGACTCCTGAATGCAAACACACTGCAGCTACAGCAGAACGTTCAACAACTGCATTAATTACTTAAACTGTCATGAGCGTTGCCCATCTTTTGCTTTCAGGGGCTCCGCACAACTGCTCACGGTAAACCAAATCTGGGAAATCAATCTTGCTGGGATGCAGCATGGCAAAACCAACTGTCCACTTTCTGCTACATTAGGCCCAGATCCACCTCAATGTGCCGATGGAGTTAACGGCGAAAATGCTGCAAGGACAGTTTTTGTGTCAGCAGCACAGCGAAGAAAGACCCAAGGCCCAGGGCTTTAGAGCATTCAATTTCTAATGGCTATATTACAAATTACTTATCACAATTCCTACTAAGCTCTACAGTCACCACAAAGCACTGCACTGAAAGGAAGCCCTCATCTTCAGGTATGTGGGCAACAACTCGAAGACTGGCTTTTGGATGTGAAAACAAGTGTTTAACATTGGCTGAAGAACACGGGAAAGGTGCTGCTGGTGGTCTGTCTTGCACTCTTAATACCTGACACTCTTCCTGCACAGAACTGCTGCCAGGCAATTTATAAATACTGACCCACATTAAACTTACTCATTGGTAAAAATACAGGGTTTGGTTCAAAGAAGAAAACTATTAAAAAAAAAAAATCAGTGTCCCTTACACAAATGGGCAAAATTACTCTTTATTTAAAACCACTGATTTTCTAACTTTTTTCACTTCGCCTAAATGTTACAAAGCCTCCCCAAACAGCACACTGACTACTTTTTCACAGCTGGTAAGTACAGCAGCGAAAAGACCTCAATTGTGTTTTCCTGAAACCCTAACAAAGTCTTCTGCTGTCCTCATGATACACAATCATGTGGGATTAGAATAACAACTGTACTTGGATCACTTCCAGCTGCTCCAGCTCATTATGGAAGTGCAGGCTGGGGCTACGTTTGTAAGACCGAGCATAATACCATGAACATAATTTATCACCTGGAAAAAAAAAAAAGCACTGAATTATTATTCAAGGTATGAAGGAAAAAGAAAATCAAAGCAACCCTCGAATAAAAGATGACACAACCTGGAAAAGACGATTTCGTTTGCCGAGTCTCGCCAGCCGCGCTGTGGCCGCGACTGCCGCAGCAGCGCATCTGTGACTTACCGACCCCGCGCCCCCTCACCGCGGTGCCTCTCCCCGGGGCCTCCGGGGCACAGCGTGTCGGGAATGCGGCCTTTCCTCGCTGCCGGAGGAGCCGCCCCTCGCTGCCCGGCTCGCCGCGACGGCGGGAACCAACATGGCCACCCCCACCGCGCCACATGC